ATTAATTTTGTGGATTTAAAATAAGATGGGAGTTATAATTGGCTGCTTTGGCGCTCTCAAATTCAGTCATTCTTATAAACATACTGAATGACTAATGACGACGAATTAATGGATTTTGAGTTCTTTAGCCAGTATTTCACACTAATTTGCTAACGTTATTAATAAATCTTAAGTGTGACTACATTTTGACTACTTCAGAACTTCACTGATGGTTCAGGAGACTTGTCCGTTATAGTTGACCCCTGGCCACTTCTTTTGCAGGTGCTATGCCCGTCTGCACCCCCGTGCTGTCAACTGCCGCAAGAAGAAGTGTGGGCACACCAACAACCTTCGCCCCAAGAAGAAGCTGAAGTAGACATTTTGACTTAATCGGCTCTCAAAGCCATTTTGTGTTAAAATAAATGTGAGAAAATGATCCTGCTTGTCTGACTTGTATTATTCAGTGGCAGGGAAAAGTGGTGCATTTGTGGCTTCATTTGAATTCACATGTGCATTACATGGTTGTGAGGCTGTGCAGGGAGACTTTTAATAGCATAGTAAAGGTAACAAGGCTGACTGACGACCAGATGAAGCTGGTGCCATAAACTCATGTCAGTGTTTGCCAAATGTTCGCAAATTAAGATATTCATGAGAAGAGTTTGGCAAGAAGTTTACGTCAGAGGCCAGTTCTAGGAAACCAGTTCATTGAGTTATCTGGGCAATTTAATAAACCTGCTGCTTGGAACTGGCACTGGTTAAAAACTAACAGTGGGTGTACTCTGAAACTTAACAGGCAGAGGGCCTGTTTGTACTGGTTGGCTGTGGTTTCCATTTTATTTCAATTTGGCACACAAAGCAGCACATACCCTTTGTTTCAGTCTGAATTGACAGGCTCTGTAACAATACCACGTGTCCCAACTGCACAATTAACTAGACTAATAAACACATTTCACATGGCTGGTGGCTGAATCCAAATGGGAGATACTGTACTGTCTCTGCCAATACTAAAAAGCTGTGAAAATATGTTTACACCGGCGACTGTTTGAATATTAGAATATTATACGCCACCTGCACTCCATTTTAAGAGGTTTCCCTCACCCTCGTTAAATAGCAAGCGACAGGCAGCCGCTGCTCACTAGAAATCATGCTTTTAACTGACTGACAAACTTTTTTTATCGGCTGACATATTGAATACTAAAATATTAGTCAAATGTGTGTAAGATGTAAACATCATAGTTTCTTGCCCTTGAATCACACAATCCAAGACAACAGAGGTGACTGCATGACTGAGTTTTAATGTTAAACAGTTCTATACAAATATAAGGAACTCATCTCACATTGTCAAATTCCATACAAACACCTGCTCTCCTCAATTCATCAGTTCTTACGAACGAACAAAATCATGGCCTTTAACTGACAAACACCAGTCGACCGTTTTCCTCGTGTTGACCAACACTTCAATGAAACTCTTCTGAGGTATTTTGAGTCGTACTGAAAGGTCGAATGTTTTGGACATGGAGCAAAGTCAAACTTAGGTAAAATATGATGGAGATGAATTTGAGTTGTTTATTCCAGTTGATGTGGCTTAAGCATGACAGCGGTGCGTCTTTGGTACTGCATTCTCTCTTGTGTCTGCAAAGGCCTTATTCCAGTGTATTTAAGGAGGAATCCACCCACAGATATTCCGACATACTCCATTTATTGCTGTTTATTGTAGGGTTTTTTTGTAGTGTGAGCAATGTCCCTAAACCTGCCTCTACTATTTATGCTGCAGCTGGTTTAGTTCTCTGTTAGAGAGGTCAGTGGTCTGACACCTGGGGGCAAATTTGGTCTTACAGACGACAGTCCCTGCCCCCCCCTTCCTGTACTACTTCTAATGCATTTACACAGTGATATTGTGCATTAATGATACACTGGAATAAGGCCATTGTGAAGCAAAGTGTTTCGGACGTCAACCGTGAGGAGATGGTGCAGAGGAGCCGATGGCCTCTGATGCATTTTCTTCATGCTTGATAAAAGGCTAGTCCATTAATAATCTGGTGAAGCCATGAAATAAAAACAGTGGGTGGGGGGGGGGAGCAAACACATGAGAACAGTCTGAACAGAAGTCTCATTACCTACAGATTAATTGTATTAACAGGCATCTATGCTATTATGTATGAGTGACGTTTCATTAAGCAGTGATATAAATATGTCAGAATTCAAATTGTATATATGTGGTTTAAACTGTCTATTATGTTTAATCGTTATGTTTATTGAATAGTGTTTAAAAATATCCTCCGTAGGATCAAAGATAAAAAATGCCAGAATCTATATTAACATAGCATTTGGCTTGTTGATCTGTATAATAAGTATTGTTATGATACTGAGATCATGATTTATATGGGTGTGTTAGTACACTATCTGGCACTTTATTAAACCAACAGATTTCATTATGACCCATTTAAACCACATTTTGACATGTTATGATCCTTGTAGTTACTGCATCATCAGCTGCAAAAGAATGCACCTTATTTGTACCTATATTACTGTCATATGAAGAAATCAATAACTCATCAGGGGGCGAGAAGCAAAGATCGATAGATATTGTGCATCAGAAGTTCACATACGAAGCTGACAGACAAGTCAATTAAGTACCCGCTTACTAAAACTACTGCAATTGTGCTTTTTAACTCGAGCAGTCTCCGTTTGCAGGCTGTTAAGTATTGTGCACACACACACATACAGCTTCACATTCCTTGGCAGGTACGGTGCTTCTGCAGAGCTCATGCAGTACTCTCATAGTGATTTATGCTCTGCGGCGCCACTGAGCCTATTATTACTATTATGGTAAATGGTAGTGTTGAGCAACACAGAAAAAAGTACATAAAGTAGAACTGGATCATTTTGTGAATGCTGACAAATGTAAACAAAATAAAACTTGGCACAAACAATATCAAGTGCAACCTCAGGTTCAACTAAGCACAACATCAGCGTGGGAAAGCAGCGTCTCTGTCCACAGGCCACAGTTTCACATCAGGACCTTTTCTTCACATGCTGATCCAGCTGTCAACGTGGCCTGATGGAGAGGGAAAACCTGCCAGACAGCCGCATCTCGAATTTAAGAGCAATTTGGCTGGTTGCTATCGTTGATTTCCCATCCCTTCCTGTGAGTAACCCATCGATGAACATGAATAATAGAATAAGTGGTGAGAAAGAGCAGTCCTCATTAAACATGAACAAAAAACGTTCGTACGCTAGCGATCCTCAGAGGACAGACTGTGAGCAGGTTGTTGCATCTCTGAGTTTGTTTATGTTCTGGCTGGTGTGAGGCCAGTTTAGGCTGCTGATGGTGAACTGGAGCTGACTTTATTCAGGGTCTTTGCCTCCATGTGTCCGTACCTCGACCAAACTCCTACTCTGTGCATCTCCACAGTGTTGAAGGAAGGATGACACCAGTGTGACCTCAAGCTTGTTATTGTGTAAAAGCAGACATTTTACTCCTAAAGCTTGTCTTGATTTTTCTTAGCTGTCTTACTTGCAGTGACTTCTGAGATCAACCAATAACCTTCTAAGATAATGCAAATCTAAAAGCCTCTTTCACACAGGACTATTATTATGTATGGGCCTCAGACTATTAGATTAATGTAGTCAAAGTCGTATGCCAAACTGCAGTGACAAAAACAAAGAGTTGCTTTGTTTTTTCTATAAATGAAATGTCCAGGATATATGATAAATACTTATGTTTAGTATAGGTATAAAAGTGTAATTGTCCATAAAACTTTACTTTTCAGCCATTTCAAGTCCTGATGTGAGTCCTGCTGTTACAGCACTTGCACTTCAGTTTCACTGTCTGTGCCCAGACACGGTTGAATGGTTGAGACCTTCAGCTCAGCATGAAAACAGAGCACCACTGACTTTTATTAAACAGTCAGACCATTATCTTCTGATTTTCCCCTAGTTTTACTGCTAGTCTTCCCTCTTAATTTGGTAAGAAAATGCACTAATACAAGTAGACTGCCCACTCTGTATTAAATTAAAGATACATCACACAAAAATAACGAGTAGAAAATCTTTGATACCCGTTGGAAATGTCTACTTTTGCAAAATAGCAAGCTTAAACTTAGTTTTGGTGCAAATCCTCCTTTGAAGGTACTTTGTGTATTATTAGTGATCAATAAATGTAACCGCAGTCCTTTTGAGACATCAATATAATTACCATAAACAATTGAGACCATCACTGAAAAGACTGAACTGTACTTGTACACTGTAAACCACACAATACACTGGATTGCTATGGCACCAAAAAGAGGAGGAGGGCGCTGTTCTTCCAGAGGAAATGGATCTAAAGCTTTCAGAGTTTTCAGTGATGGCAGATGGGAAAAATACTAGTAAAACCTGGTACAAAAAAAAAAATGACATGGAGCTGCTGGAATGAAAAACAAGTAGTTTAGCTGATTAGACCATACTGTCATCTGTTTATGATAATCATACCAAGGTTGCAGTTTTAATGTGACAATGACAATGATGTTTTATTCTGCACATAGCACCTTTAAGCTTTTTGATACCTGCTGTTTACCGCCACTGATCTTTAAAAAAAAAAAACAGATCCATGAAGGTAAACATCTGTGCGTTTTCCCCCATATTGCTTTGATTTTTGCTCTGCTGATGCATCAGTAAAACACAAATCAAGGCAACATGGGTGGAACCAGTGCTGACTGTGGAGATGCAGCCCAACTGCTGCTGTGGCTATTTGTCAATGAGTTTGGACAGGCTCTGTCTCAGGTCGTTCAGGTCGCAGATTTTGACGTCTAGAACCTCGATGATGCGTCGGACCTCGACCTCCGCCTGCTCCTGCTCCTCCCGGCTGGAGGCCAGCGTCTTTTCAGCACTCTGAACCTGATTCTCCAACTCTGTGTTTCGTCTCTCCACATCCTGCAGACACATTAAGTGTTGTTAATACATACATACATAATGTATTTTTTTGTGTAATACACCTTGCAGAGTATTATTGTAAATCACTAATAGGGCTTGCAAAAAGGCATATATGTAAGCCTGGAGTACAATGTTTACTGATTCCAAAATTAGGACATACAAATGTTTATATCTGAAAACAGAGTTTAGTAGAGAAATATAATTTATCCAACTGTATGTCTAAATGTTTGTACTCTCTGTACAGAATCTGTGAATTTCTGGATTTTTGTACATTTAAACTTCAATACAAATATAGTACCAATTTATACAGCACATTTATAAAGCACCTTGCTTAAAGGCATTTTGGTAGATTATTGTACATTTGTGGCTGCTGACTGAAATCATAATCAATGAATAGATTATGGAATGAACCCAAGGACAGCAAAGGTCAAATATGAATAACATAATTCACAAATGACACCACCACTAAAAATGACAGTAGACTAATAAAGGCTATGCAATATGCATCAGGTATAATCTCCTGCATTAGCATTTGAAATTCAATACTATTTGTTTTCTCCTTGAAGTTCTCCTGTACTGATTCCCTGCTGCAGGTCTGAGCTGTGCTCTCTTTTATAGGTACACTATCAGTGCTTTGATTTCCCATTAGTCAACTGTGTGGCTCTGTTGGGTTTGGAGAACAACAGGAAACAGCATGTAAGCCGGTCAGCACTCTGCAAATGACTAAGACTTCTGAGTTTCTTATGAAGTTTTCAGTCTATATATATAAAACTAACTGAGACAATGTAATATGGTGAAGACAAAAAAAAAAAAGATACGTCAGTAATATCTGTAGAGTAGAAATTAGTATATTGTACTAAAAAATCCTTGAAAGACTAAACTGGCGACCTCTTAGCAACTGAATATGAATGCCATTTTGTTCCAGACGACTGCTCCATCGTAATTATGCATATGACATATAAAGAACTTGAA